TAAGGGTTGGCACACAACAGTAATGGGAGGGTCAGCGAAAAGGAGGAAGACCCCCAATGAGATGGATTGGCACAGGCAACAGCAATGGGCTCAAGTGTAACATCAGTCGTGAGGTTGATGCAGGACAGGGCAGTTGTGTTGTGCATATGGTTGCTATGAGTCAGAACCAACTGGCACCTAACAACAGCAATCTGTTTTTCAATCATGGTACTACCCTTTCAGTTTTATGATATTGGCCCTCAAGAAAAAGAAAGGGGAGGATAAGGAATCCCTCAGGCACATCTGTCCCAGATCCCTCAGATCCACAATGTTGTTGCTGTATACCACAGAGTTGATTGTGATTCATTGTGAGCCCATAGGACAGGGTAGAGGAGCCCACATGGGGATTTCTAGGCTGGGAGTCCTGATGTGGCGCTGTGGGTTAATGTGCTGGACTACAAAATCGGTTTGAACTGCAAGATCAGCGATTTAAGCTCACCAGCTGCAACTTGGAAACCCTAGAGAGAGTCACTATGGGTCAGAACCAACTCGATGGCACTTAACTGCTATCTTTGTGGAGTTCTGTGATGGCACTATTGGACTGCTTACTGAAAGGTTCAATCAAACCTACCAGCCATTTCTTATGCACAGTCTTTATAAGAATGGATCACCAATATTTTTCTTCCTCAGAGTCACCTTTGAATTAGCAGTTGAGTACTTAACTGTGGTACCCGTTGGCTCATTTATATTGATAATAGTTGCCCTAGATGAAATAATTACAGTCTGAAAGTTCCCTCCTGCTAACTAGCTTACGCATCACCAGGACATTTTCTAAAATTTCGTTTTGCTTGTTGCTGCTCTTACAAGGCTAGATAAGTACCAATTTCAGGAGTGATCCTGCATACAGCACACAGGCAACAATTGGATGGACACAACTGGCCTCAGGAATCTCTTGAAGGGAGAATTAGTAAAGAGTTATGTGACCATTTGTGCAGGGATATTTACAGAGTATACTACCTCCATGACAAAGAAGACCGCAATAACCCTAAGCCCTAGCACTTCCTAACTATTAAAAAAAAAAAAGATTCAGTAAAGAAAAATTGTTAAGTTAAATGAAAAATTGTAGTCAGTTGTTTATATTTGTTTTCCATTTTAACATGATTGTTCTGCAACTTTGGCAATTTAAATATTTAAAGAGACCTGAGTAGCTTTTGATAAGATCTGGACTTCATTATATAAAAAAATAGAAAGGTGCAAGTTGTTGATGTGGAACAAGCTTAATGCAGTTTTAGAACAGAATTTTGTGCACTCACCTGCTTGAAGAATATAGGATTATTCAAGAAATAATTTATAGTATCTGTATATGGTATGTGAAGCGTCAAATTGGGTTCTTAGGTGCAAAATATAGCCTCAAAGTGGGACTCTACTGTCTTGGTTAAAAAGACAATCTGAGAACCACTGTAAAAACAGAAGTAATGGTAAAATCATGGGAGATATCACATCTGTGAGTAGGCTACCATAGAGGGCAGAAGTTTAAAATATTTTAAGAACCCTTTAAAAAGCCCACCTGCATCAGCTGCTTGGGATAATTATTGGTTGGCTTTCATCTTCAGCTTTGACATGCATTTTAAAATCATCTGCTCCTATGAAGATTTAAAGCCTTGGAAATCCTATGTAAGGTCACTATCAGTCAGAACTGACCCCATGGCACTTAACAATAACAACAACAACAACAAATACAGGGACGAAGCCCTGGTTTGTTGTTGTCAGGTGCCATCAACTCGGAACCAACTCATAGCGACCCCATGCACAGCAGAACGAAACAATGTCCTATCCTGGGTCAACCTCACTACCGCCGCCACACTTGACACCATCAATGATGCCACCTGGCTGATCCATCTCGTTGGGGGTCTTCCTCTTCTTCTCTGACCCTCCACCTTACCCAGCATGACATCCTTTTCCAGTGACTGTTCTCTCCGGACAAT